GCGTAGCTTGTCACAGACCCATCAGACTTTTGGTTGCAGTGGTTGAAACGAAAACGTTCAGCAATTAGCAGGGGCCTGGGCTCAAAATGTGATTCGTCAGGATGTGCACAATATCTCTGTAAGATTTATCCTTTGGCTTAGCCGGCTGCACTAAATTCCTTAATAAGCCATAAGCAGCCGCTCCCATGACGCTTAGCACAGTAGCTACTTGCTTACTTTCATCGATGTCATTGGCCACGAAAAACTGCTCTACACACTCTACATACGCCGACCATGACTCCGTCTTCGGAACGAATTCCTCTATTGCCCCAATCAGTAGTGCCATATTCTGCAGCACAATTACGTTTTATCCTCGTCGCCAATTTTTCTGTGGTGTATTTCACAAGGACACGCACAATGCAGCCACTTTTGTCGCACGCTGCTCTTTTTAATTAATAAACTCTGCAAAAACTAGGCAGGCAACAGATGTCCCAGCATTCTCTAGTCAAGCTCCAACAACTACTGCACGACCAAGGTTCCAATAATAAAACTCAATTGGTAAATATATCACAACCTTGTTGGTCAGTCTTTCTTATGATGGTGGGTTAATCAAACATAGTAGCTGGCTGCCCCAAACATAAGCCACCCATTATCTACCTGGGTGCCACCTACTGTATATGGGCTTGGAATCTGGGAAGAGGTGGAGTTAGAGTGATCTAACACTCTATGGCAAAACTGCTGTGTAGATGGTCTGCCAAATTTTAGTATAATCTTATAATAATAAAATCATTTATAATAATTGTTTCTATAATCTGGCTATGTTTACAGTAGTTGTTTTGTGTTACTGACAGTCTACAGGTGTTGTCCAGAATATAAGTAACACTTAATGTATCAGATTGGCCTGATGGCCCCTTGGATATACAATGGTACCTCAGTTCTCGAACTCATTAGAACTCGAATTTCTTAAAAGTCTAACCAACCAGTTCGAAAAAAAATTACCTAGAGCTCGATCTGAATCTCAGAAGTCAAACCGTAAATGCCGACCGAAGACAACTAGTATGCGCAGGAAAATGAGTCACGCAGCACGTCTCTCAGCAGAAACAAAGGGTAAAACTTCAGTCTCAACCTCGCATTAGCTGTGATAGCACTGTGCATGTTTACATTAACTGAATACATATATTTAGACATTGAAAATACATTTAGACAATGATAGTAACACTAATTATTATTATATAATAAAATATATTTTAAAATAAAGATTTCTTATTCATTATTTTAATATTAATAATAAACCATTAATATGTTTAATTATAATAATATTGTTGTGCCGAGTGGGGACAGAAGGGAGATAAAGGCGCAGACGTCGGGGTATNAATATTAATAATAAACCATTAATATGTTTAATTATAATAATATTGTTGTGCCGAGTGGGGACAGAAGGGAGATAAAGGCGCAGACGTCGGGGTATCGGGGAATACGGGGTTTAATTACAGGTAAGGCAGGCACAACGCAGACGGACAATACAATGACCGGTCTGGGGAAACAAACTGAAACGCGGACTAAATACAGAGGACTAATGACAACAACCAGAAACAGCTGATCACACAGGGATTCCACACGGGGCTTAAGGAGGGGGAGTGGCACACGAAAGGAGCGGACAATCGGGGCAGGACACATTGTTTGGATACATTTATTTTCTTACTTTACAAATTACTGTTTTGATAAATGTGCTTAGATGTGTTTAGTACAGTATATGCTCTTCTTGTTTTATCCGGTTTATTCTGTGTTTAAATGCTAAAAAAAAAAACATATTTAGGTGTATTTTTTTGGGGCCAGGAACCAATTATATATAACCAATATTAATAATAAACCATTAATATGTTTAATTATAATAATATTGTTGTGCCGAGTGGGGACAGAAGGGAGATAAAGGCGCAGACGTCGGGGTATCGGGGAATACGGGGTTTAATTACAGGTAAGGCAGGCACAACGCAGACGGACAATACAATGACCGGTCTGGGGAAACAAACTGAAACGCGGACTAAATACAGAGGACTAATGACAACAACCAGAAACAGCTGATCACACGGGGATTCCACACGGGGTTAACGAGGGGGCGTGGCACACGGAAGGAGCGGACAATCGGGGCAGGACACATTGTTTGGATACATTTATTTTCTTACTTTACAAATTACTGTTTTGATAAATGTGCTTAGATGTGTTTAGTACAGTATATGCTCTTCTTGTTTTATCCGGTTTATTCTGTGTTTAAATGCTAAAAAAACATATTTAGGTGTATTTTTTTGGGGCCAGGAACCAATTAATTGATTTTCCATTATTTCTTATGGGGGAAATTCGATCACAACTCGAACTTTTTAGGATTCGATCCGGAGTTCTGAACGGATTAAATTCGAGTTCTGAGGTACCACTGTAAAGGGATGCTACACAAGTATCCAGTCACCATCACAAGTAGGGACAGCTTTTATCTCCTAAGTTTCCCAGCCGGGAGAACGCAAATTCCATGGTCCTTAAGAATCCCCGAAATAAAATTAGCTAAGGCATATTTATCACAAAAGCATATACTGTTGTGCGTTTTATGTTGGAGGAAAATATCTTTACTGCGATGGTAAGGAACAACAAAACGCCGCGCCGCGTCCATAGTGCCTCGTTTATCTCTTTATAGTTAATTTAATAACATTTCGAGGCTCAAGGGGAAATTAGGCTTTATTGATGGCTTCCCCATCTCGTTTACTCAATTATTTCGGTTCTGATTTACTCTCTGTTTTAAAGATGGAGAAATATTTGGTAAATTTGCCTGTGAGATGGCAGTATCAGCACCTCAGAGCCCGACTAACGTCGCTTCAGCAGCACCGTTACCATAGGACCCCAAATAGCGGCGGAGTTAAATACCTCTCTATTTTACAGTACACAGGCGATATTACCGTAATTGCTGTGGTAGAAAGCATATTGGGATTTTACGTTAAAGCGTTTGGTCGTCTGTGTACAGATTACATGTTACATCAGAATCTGCTCAGATGTTTAAACAGCAGAGTTTTTAAAACACCCCCTTGTTGTAGATAAATAAGTATGAAAGCTACTTTATAGTTAGAAAGGTCTCAGAATACACATGTCAGATGGATAGATTAGTTCATGACTCGTAATGCTGTAAAGACTCCAAATCCCAAAGTGCAGTGCAGTGCGGCGCGGTTGAAAACAGGCGTGGTCCCGGTCTAGCCGTGGTCAGCAGAATGACAGCTAGATGGGCTACATTCAGTGACACTGGGCACAGTACTAGGAAGTCCGTACGAAGCAGCGGCCAGGGGAGATCTGCATTTAGGAAGTAGCTAGACGACTTTAATCAACAAAAGTATTTTATAACGACCGACAATAGGATGAAATGAGTAAATTAACATTGTTACTAGATATATTCAAAGTAGTAAAAAAGTTTTAAATACTTAAGAATTAGAACTTTGGCTATATTTTCAGAAAATAATTTGGATTGTGTGAAGTAACAACACTTTAAAAAACGTAATAAAGCTTTAAACAGTACTTAGTTTATCAGTTTAATGACATGAAAGAAAATAGCATGTTCCTAGAACGTCAATAGAGGTAGACGTAGACTTCAGGCTTAAGGTTTGTAAACTGAATAGTAAATTATTGTATTTGGGTAAGGCACGCCGATCGGGTCTGATGTGATGCAGCTGATTGCTCCGGCATGAAGCGCATGTGGGAGTAGACTGGCAGGCGTGCAGGAGGTCACCATGCAGAAGGAGCACCTCTTTAAGGTTCTGGTCATCGGAGACCTCGGGGTAGGGAAGACCTCCATTATCAAGCGCTATGTTCACCAGATTTTCTCGCAGCACTATCGCGCCACCATTGGAGTTGACTTCGCGCTGAAGGTGCTGACCTGGGATAACCGGACGGTCATTCGCTTGCAGCTTTGGGACATAGCCGGTACGTGACCGCTTTCTTTCGGGGTCAAATGTGCATCTCGCTAAACTTTCAGTATAAAGCTGGTTTATAAATAACTCTCGTTGTTTATTCACCCATTCAGCCTATAATTGAACTTTTTCCCATGTTGTTTTCGTACGTCGATCAGTTCTTCGTACTCACTTTCCGGATTGTTAGTTATTCTTTTTTAAACAGCTGACCTAAGCTATCTTTGAATTACAGCCTTTTTCTCACAGTAACCATAATTTTACCCATAGCTAACTATGACATTTAGATTCATATGTTATGTATACTGAAATGAAAAGGCAGTCGACCATTAAGAAACCAAAAGAATTAGTAAGCCTTAGAAATCGGCGTCAATCCAAGAACACGCGATGTGGAGACAAGTGTGTCTGTGGCTCCGATGTGGATGGCCGTAATGTATAGCTATGTCTTTTATTATACTGAATTCTGACGGTAATTTTCCTGGCTTGTCGACGTTGTGGTCTGCCATGGTGCACTTTCTTGCTCTTTCATCCCTTTTTTGTGGTTTTCCTCCATTTCATCCCCCATTCCCACTTATCTCTGGCATCGCTGCATGTGGCCAGCCTGACTGTAGGACTGCATGCCTTGCCATAATCTCAGCTGATCTCGTTAGCATCACATGAGCAGTGGAGCCCCCCCCCCCCCGCCCCCGCCCCATGAGGACTCACATCTCACTTGACTTCTCAAACTCTCCCTCTCTTTCTGTCTTTTTGCCCTGTCTCCTCTCTCTCTTCTTTGCCAGACCTGCACATCTTCACTTACTGTATAGAAATGAAAGCAGCAAGTTGGATTTCGATGGTACTGACGATGCTGTGTGCCTCCCCCAGGGCAGGAGCGGTATGGGAACATGACGCGGGTGTATTACCGGGAGGCAGTGGGGGCACTGCTGGTGTTCGACGTGACCCGCACCTCCACCTTCCAGGCGGTGCTCAAGTGGAAGGCTGACCTTGACGGCAAGGTCTCCTTAGCCAACGGCAAGCCTGTCCCCGTTGTGCTATTGGCCAACAAGTCTGACCAATCACGTGAAGGACTGTCTTCTCAACTACCCAAGCTGGATGCCTTTTGCAAAGAGCATGGCTTTGTGGGCTGGTTTGAGACCTCTGCCAAGGTAAGGGGGGAGATAAGCAGCATGGGTGGAATATGGACGAAAACGGGCCGATTGGTGTGAGTCGGGGTAGGATTTACTGCCTGCTTCATTGAGTCAAGCCTGACATTTCTGCTGAAGGCCAGTGGGCTATGCCTGTGTGCCTGCAATCACAAGGTCGCCGGTTCAAACCCACCCTCAACATGTCTGCTGGTCCTTGAGCCAGGCCCTTAACCCCCAACTCCCTGGGCGGCTGCCCTTCGCAGACAGCTTACTCTAAAAAGAGCAAGTTGAGGGAGGCGTAAAGATAATTTCCCCACGGGGATCAATAAAGCATTGGTTATTATTATTATTATTATTATTATTATTATTATTACTTTCATGGGAACAGGAGCAGCGGCCTGGTCTGGCTGCCTGCTCGTTGTCGCCCCATTCTCTGCCCCCCCCCATCTCCGTCTCCGAGTGTCCTCCTGCTCTGGTGGGGGGGTTACAGAACGTCCATGTGGAATGTAAACAGAACTGCGGCACCTCTGTGCAAAATATCTCTGCTTTCCCTAAATGGGCTGTAGTCTGAGTGCAGAGGCCCGGACGACATGCCTCTGCTAGCACACTTTCCCTGAAGCACTTCTGTAATTAGGGATTTTTTATAATTTTAACGGCAAATATCTAGTTTCTGTGTGAGCAATTTGAGCATTGTCAGTGCATGCAGCTGGCTTTGCGTAGGTGTCCTCAGTGTTGGTAAGAATGTGGGGGCTACACACATGCCTGTCCGCGTGCCCGGGTGGGCGTGGTCACGGCTGATCGCTAATGAGATGCACAGGGTGGTGTGACATCTGACTGGAGGCACATGAAGATCCATAGCTGGTGTCCCGCTGGGAGAGCAGGAAACTCCTGTTTCAGAAAAAAACATATTTTTTTTTGATTTGCTGACTTTGTTCAATGACTTGCCTTTATTAAAAAACGGACTTTCAACGTGAACCACACTGAAAGGCGTAATTTTGTATAATCACAGGCATGTTGATTAGAGTATTTTGATAATTGTTTTAATGACTATTAATGACTCAGCACCTCTGTACTGTACATGTGCTGTTGGTATAACAATTATTTTGACCTTTTTAAGAAATATGAAGACTTTTGATTTTGTATTGTTCTGTATATTTTGTTTGACATCATTACACATTTTTATATTTTAGTCTCCATTAGGGGGCACTGGGCTATTTTGTGGGAGTGTCCTTTCTTGAGGTGATGTTCTTTTTGCATCCACACCATAACAGGAGAACACGAACATCAACGCGGCAGTGAGGTGCCTCGTCCAGAACATTCTGGCCAATGAGCAGAGCACTGAGGCTGGCCTGGACCTGGATGTGCAGGTTCTGCCGGCACTGAATGACGTCACCAAAGAGCGGAGTAGCCCCCCTTGTACTGGCTGCTCCAGGCTGTAGCGGGGCGACGGAGTCACGCTAAACAGATCACTTGATTGGCTAAGAGGTGTCGGCCCTGCAGAAGATACTTGTTCTTTTCCCCTTTTTATGGGGGGGTGGTTCCCGGACTCTTGTGACATTCAGTCATGACGCTCGTTTGAGTCTGTGGTTAGGTGGGGAGGATATGCCTGTCGATAGTGATGTGTTAGATCTGGAGATGCTGCCTTCTCTATCCCTCTAGAAATCTGTTGGAGGGGGGTTGCACAACTATAGACAGTGGAAGATATCACAGCAGATAAATATTTTGCAAGTTAAAGGTTTCTGACATATAAGCATGAAAACAAAGGAAGAACGAACATCCAGTAAAAAAGTCAAAGATACTGGCAGCAGGATCTTCTAAGGAGGTTTCTACTGAAGGTCCTTTAGTAGGACAGAGCAAAATGCTCTGTTTTGTTTTTAATGAAAGTGATGCCTTAAAATTAAGGGACAGAGCCATGGGTGTCATTGGGGCCAATGACTCGGGGCTATAGCACCGAATATTTTAGCCCCCATGCCAGTCTTCCATCAAAAAAAAAAATTCAAGCCCCAGGTTAACTTGACTTACCCCCTGATCTTTTCAATAGCTAGAAACTCCCCTGGACAGAACCAAGTGGCACACACGAGTCTACATCCCTTCAGATAAGTGAATGTGTTAAAACTGCTTTTCCCATAATTCCCTAGCTGGGAAAAATGCGCTGTAGCTGTTCGGCTCTCTCGTATGTGCTTGGACCTTATGACGGACCATAGCTAATGGACCTAACAAGAATGCCTGTCACTTTCTCTGTTTTTTGGCTGTACCAAAATGCAGATATTGTATTACTGCTGTATTGAAGGATATTAGAAACTGTCATGTAGATGTGTATTACTGTAGGTTTTATACCCAGAGCCTAATGGCTAACATTAAAAAAAGAAGTCCCACATGGATATGTTTGATATCCGTATTTTAGTTTTATTTTAATTTATATAGCAATATTTTAGCTAAATGTGTTACTATGAGTATATACACTGTCCGGCCAAAAAAAAAGTCCCCATTTGAATTTATATCAGCAAATACTTAAGAGCCAGTGACTGGATCATTATTACAGCTCAGCAACGTTATGCAGCAATAAAGTAAAGTCAGCTGAGTACCTGAATCTACTGAATGGCCAGGTTACACCTCCATCCATCATCAGTGGGTTTTTCTCTTCCCTGTTGGCATGGGCTTATTCCAGGACAAGATTCATTGGGTTCGAATTGTCAAAGAGTGGTTCAGGGAGCATGAGGAGTCATTTTCACGCATGACCACAGAGTTGTGACCTTAACCTCATTGAACGTCTTTGGGATGCGATAAAGGAGGCTTTATGAAGTGGTTCAACTCACTTGTCAATACAGGATCTCATTGAGAAATAAATGCAAATCTGGATGGAAATAAAGGGTGAGATGTTGTATCAGCCTGTGGAAACAATGGCATGACAAATATATTTTAATTGTATAAGAATTTAGCTTAAATACCATCATACTTCTTTCTTTGTTTTTTCACGGTTAATTCTGTATTATAGGTCCTCATGCTCCTTAATGCGTAGAAGTATACCTTATAGATGTTTCTGTATGAATTTAGGGTTCACATTGCTTTGCTGTACATACACAGGTCCCTCAGACATCTAAAGAGGTGTGTCTCATGACCTCCTGTCTGAAAGCCTAACCCTAATCCTGATATATGGGGCCATCGCTCCAAGTTATATATTTGCATATTTGTTTCACCTCTCTGTCAGTAAGTGGGTCATTCAGGGAATCAACACCAGAAGAGCTCAAGCAAGATCCTACCTGTCGTCGTGTGAGCAAAAGCCTATCTTTTAGAACGTAACATTTTGAATGGAACATGTTAGTTGATTTTTTTTATTGCAGTTGTGATAAATAATCATCCATCCATCTTCCAGCTGTTTATACCGGGCAGGGTTGTGTGGCTTTGATAAATATATATACACTATATATTGGAACTACTAATAACTACTAAAGTGTTATTTTTTGCTCAAAAATCATCCCAGATTATTCTGACAAAAGTATTTGTCCATGACTCCTTCAGTATTATCAAATAATTTGTTCTAGTGGTATTGGAAGAATGTTTTTTGCAGAAAATTAATTTAATGTGCTAAATTCTTGTACATAAGTACCTTCATATTGTTTAAATGTTTTGGAATCTCTTACGTACTTAGGTGTTAGGACTAAAAATGATGCTTTTATACAAACTACAGGCAAGAAATAAATATATTACTGTCATGTTTTTGGGGAGATGTTACACAATATGTACATTTCAGGTATTACATCTCTGGCTTTATATGAAAATATTTTCTATAGTGGAGGGAGATTTGCCTGACAATCTGACTTTTTTGTTGGGAATGGTTTGGGTCTAGAGCTTAATTGCTGATTTGTAAAGGATAGTCGGGGAGTGTTTGTTTTCTAACTGCTGTATGCATCACCTGTCTGGCTGTCTCAGGAGACTGCAGAAGTAGCATTCAAAGTCTATGTCGGGCACTGGAGGAGCAATTGGCAGCTTCTGTTGCCATGGACACACCTGGCCAAGTGTCCCAAGTGTGGTTTCCATGGAAACAGTGTGAGCATTATGCCACTAGATGGGGCTGTCTTCTTTCCAAAACAGAGCTTGTGTATCGTGTGCTCAGAGTATTAATGAGACTGCTTTTGAGAGACCGTTGTTTGAAAGCAGTCCATTGTTGCATTTGATTTACAGAAATTAATACATTTTTCCACACAACAAGGATATATAGTGTTCCTGAATAAATATTTACAAACCTTCCACACTGATTGACTAAAACTAAACGAAGTATCTTGCTCCTCATAGGAGGCTTTCAAATACATTTATATTAGCTGCATAAGCAAAATGATTCTGTTTCTTAAATTTTTTAGATGCTGCATCCTCAGCTTGTATGACCATATCCAAAAAATTTTGTTTATCAATAGACTTTATGTATGAAGTGCAGTTATGGTTTTTCGTTGAAACACTCAGATAAAAGTTAAAAACTGCAATTACTGTGTTATGGTATTTTTTCTCCTTCCAGTTTAAGTGTGACTATTAAAACAACAACATAATGAAGTGTAAGTACCATATTTCAAAAATGTCATTTATTTGCTAAAATCATTAATAATGGTCTCAATGTAATTTTATTCATAAACAGTAGAAAACACAGAATCTGACAAAACGTTTCAGTGTAAAACAATACTATGACAAAACCCAGCCTTAAAAAAATGGTAATACATACAGATAGTGATGAATACAAGCAACAGAGGCAGGTCTGATATTTAACTGTGATGTTAAAAGTAAATAATTGCACAATGTGACAAATTCAGGGCTGCTGTGAAGAGCATGCAAAAATGACATCAGCAGACGGACAAAGTCAGTCAGAGGTGACTAATCTTTTGTTTTACTGAAAGTATATGGCCATGGACAGTGTCATGCTGATATTCTGCATAGTTTTTCTTCTGTTTTGACTTACACACCTCTCACAAGAATGCTGACAGTACTACAGGCCAGATGCAGAAGATGTTAACACCTCGAAACAGAACATGTCTAGAAATGTTCCAGTTTGGCAAGAAATGTTGAAATCTTTGCACCACACTATTACACGTTTCCCAACTGTACTGTAAAAGAACTTTGTGGTATTTGTACATATTGCTCTCAGAAAGAAAGTAGCCAGATTCCATCCATCTCCCTACCACTTACCGTGCTGAGGGAGGGTGTGGCTGCATTCATGATTAAAATGCTTTTAATCTGTGTGTAGCCCACTTCTGAAATAGAAACAACATACCACAACAAAATACTGCTCATCTAATATAGTCCCTTTTGCAATAACGCCATAAAATAAAAGTGTCAACTCCAGCAGTCTGGAGCTCCACCATAATTATCTCTGCCGCCGTGGTCAATCAAGGGCATGATAATTAGGACACACGATGCGTTCTTCGACCTTAAAGCCTGTGCATGCCTTTGCAGGATTCAGATTGAAAGAGAGACTGAAGGCTTTTGGGAGACAGAGATATCTAACAGGCTTATAATCAGACAGTCTCTGTTATTCCACTGCAGGTGGGCTGGCAACAGTTTGAATATGATGAATACAGATGAGCACAGCCTGCCCTCTTCCTGCTGCCCACCCCCCCGAACACAGCCTGCCCTCCTCCTGCTCCCCACCCCCCCTGAACACAGCCTGCCCTTCTCCTGCTCCAAACCCCTCAAGCAGTCTGTCCTCCTCTTGCTCCCCGCCCCCCTGAACACAGCACAGCATGCCCTCCTTCCACTCCTGCTCCGAACAGTCTGTCCTCCTCCTGATCCCCACCCCCCTGAATACAGCATGCCCTTTTCCTCCTTTCCATCAATACTGAACACAGCCTGCCTCATTCTCCTCACCCCTGAACACTGCCTGCCCTCCTCCTCCCCACCAATGCTGAACACAGCCTGTCATTCACCTCCCAGCCCCCTGAACACAGCTTCCCCTTCTCATACCCATGCCAAGTCAGTTCTTGTCTCCACCCCTCCTGAACACACTGTTCCTGCCCTCCTACTCTTCCCCACCCCTCCAGAATATAGCCTGCCTCTCTCCCTCCCTCTCTTCCTCCCCTCCTCCTCTCATCACCTGATCCTTGCGCTGCCATTTTGTCTCCTGTAAACCGGAACAGCCCGCGAAAGAGAGCCATCGAAGGCGGAGGACAGAGACAGCGGCGGCAGCGGGCTCTCATATCTCGGCTAAAGCGCGCAGGGAGTAAGCTAGCGCCGGCCGGCTCGTCGGGCAGCTGCTGTTCGCCTGCGTTACGTTCACTTCGCCTGGGTAGTTAGTTAGCAGCAGTCTCGCCCAGCGCTTTTCGCTAGCGGGCTATCTGGCTAGCGGGCTATCTGGCTAGCGGGCTATCTGGCTAGCGGGTTAGCTAGTTAGCTAGCGGGTTAGATTTAACAAGCCGACGGTGGTGTGAACGTTGACCCGGGGCTGTCATGTTCTAACGTCGCCCGTCTAGGTAGCGAGGTTACGGTGAAGCCAGTCCTTCCGCTTCAAACCGCTAGGCAGCCGCCGTCTCCGGTGTTAATGCCGGCTTCTCTCTCTGACGGTCACCGTTACAGATGTCCTGACTATTTCTCTGCTGGTTAAACTGCTGATTACCCGACGCTTTCCAGGCAGTCACTTTTAAATTATCAGGCTAACCAGCAATTGCAGCAGACAGCTAGTTTGCTTCGGGTTTAGTCGTGGACTCGCCTTTCAGGCTTTAGTTTCACTTACTCTAGCTGAGAAAAAACTCTCTTATATTCGCCGCAGCAGCCGGCCTGACACCCACTATCTGCTCCCCACGGTGACGGCCGAAGTAACTAGCCGGGTAGCGCTAGTAGAGACCGGGTTAGCCGGCCGGCCGGTCGCTCCATCCGCACCGCATGCTTTCTTGCGCCCTTCGCGCATCTCAGTGCCTCTTCCTTCGCCTAGAGAAGAATCGGCAGCCGGCCGCCAGCTGATCGCCCGGAGCGCTCCTCCAGCACCGAGATGTCGGGCCAGTCCATCACCGACCGCATCACGGCGGCCCAGCACAGCATGACCGGCTCATCCCTCGGCAAGGCGGTGTGCAAAGCCACCACGCACGAAGTCAGCGGCCCCAAGAAGAAGCACCTGGACTGTAAGTGCCCCGGCCAATTCCCCTGGAGTTGCCTGGTTTTAATTGTGGGTCTGTGTTACGATCAGAGCTGGACAGCCAGCCGTGTCCCACCGATCCATTTATCCGTGCCTGACAGTGCCATTTTAACACGGGCTCAGGATGGTTCCTTTGCGCACATCCTGCTGGCTGGCCTTCCAACAGCTGGCCGTATGCAGCTCAGTGAATCCCCGCACCTCCATCCGCTTTGACGTACACTGTTGTTTTTTTATATGAGGATGTTATATCAGTTTAGGTGGAACATATTAAGGATTCAGCTATGCATTGTTTTGTAACCATGCATTGCAGCACAGATGATATCGTCATGTCAGTGGAGATTGTGACTGATTTTGCCTGTGGACTTGCTGCAGAGCTCACAGGATTGGATCAAAAATGGGTTTGACATTGATCTTTGGGGGATCAGTGTGTCTCACACATGCAGCGTTGTTGACCCAAGCCCAGCTTTGCTCGTTTCTGTGCTTTTGTTCTTATTTTTCCTTTTCTTTTTTAAAAAAATTAACCTTACTTCATGTGCCCTTCCTCATGCTCTGGTTCAAGTGCATGATCTGGGTCACCATTCGTGTAGCAGCCCAGTCATGTTGTTTTTTAACATAGGTAAATGAGCTAATGGTGATTCTGACAGACAGTGTTTTTATTTGGTAGGGGTTTAATTGCTTATGCATGCACTTACCAGGTATTACATAAATGACAGTGCTATTACTCGAAGCGCTTTAGCAAGCTAAAGCAAAGGGCAATAGCCATGTTCTCCGAACTTAAGCATTGAGACCATCTTATTTATGGATATGCTAAACTCAGGCCTCGTGACCTGTTGCCTCTTCAGGTGAACTGCATGCTAAGCTGGGCTTATGTTGTTAAGAAATATTCACTTTGTATCAGCATCTTTTGTCTGCTGGCTGGGAATGCAAGTGTTGAGTGTGTAGCCAGTTAGGTAAGGAAATGAGACAACCCATGTTTATATATGGAAATAAAGGTGTGAAAATGCAAGAGTAACTTTTGAATTGATATATTTGCAGTATTTTTGTAGACATTTTTTTAGAAATGTCTGCATTGTTACAGTGAACAGGTAAGCATGTTCCTGTGAGCGTAAAATCAGGCCTGCTGGTGTGACAGGCTAAATACTAACAAAAGATCCCTCTGGGGAATATAGCTCTGTTTTGTGATTATACTGTATGGGTTGGGTGTCATAAGCAGGAAGCTGCCTTTCATCACCCACAAATGGCCCTTGATCGATGCCTGCTTTGGCATCACAGAAATAGCAGCATGTGGAATGCTAAAGTTAACGGATGCCTTGCTTCGTTTAGAGAAACGCCAGCTTTCACGGAGCATGTCTGACCGGCTGAGATGGGTGGGTGGCTGGTTAACTGGGCAGTGCTTTGCATTTTTGGTGCAGTTCGGACTGACGTCTTTTAACATATTTTGATGCAGATACAAATACCTGTGTGCACCTTTCTTTCTGCTTTTTGGTTCATTGTGTTGCTTCTGATAAAGTCACACGCCAAAATTCTGGTCACTCTTTAAAGCGGAACCTTGTGGTCTCGTAGTTGTGCAATGGAGCAGTGCAGCATTTGCAGAATAGAAAAGAGAAGAGAATTACAACAAAAGTCAGGCAGAAGCTCAAGGTTATTTTTTTTTCCTCCCTCCTTTTTCTCCCTTTGCCCGATCAGAGATATCTGGAGTGTAATTAAATGACAAAGTGTACCTTATCGATTTCTCCTGGAATAGCTCCGTGGGAAGCAGCAGCAGCCTCTACTAGCGGTTTCCGTCTTGCCCACTGCAGCTACTGCCTGTCAGTGGCCTGCGGGTACGGGTCCCCTTCCTGAAGAGTCTCTCTGCTCTGCCATGAACCTTGAGTTCCAAGCACGGACATCAGCTTTAGTGGCTGTTTCTGCTGAGCTTTTGCACCTAGTGATTGGAGATCTGGGTGTTTGGGGGGGCGTCAAGTTCTTCTTCAGAAGTTCAGTCCAGGAAGTGTTGGAGCAGAAGGCAGCAAATGTTATGTTTACTTAGGTCTGTGATGTGGTCCAGTATCATGTAAAAAAAAAAAAATTAGCACACGCTGTAGGCTCTCACCACACACTTTCAGTTTTAAAACTGTACTAATAGATCATTTGCTAAAGCATTCTCAAGGTGCTGGGTTAATATATGCTAAAACGAGAAGAATGGAGTCATTTCCATTAGTCATTAACAACTGCACATTGTAGCTGCACGTTGTAGCTGGACATTGTAACTGCACATTACCTTTTGCCTCAGTGGTATTGTGTGATTTTGATATATGTAAACTTTGAAAATGAGGCACTTTGAACAGTGCTAAATTCATTGTGTGGCTCTGCAGGTTAGAATTCTGTGCCTGTGATTGGGAGGTCGCTGCATCAAATCCCATAGCTGGCAGAGTGATTTCACAGTTGGGCCCTTGAGCAAGGCCCCTAACCCCCAATAGCTACAAGGACTGGCCCACCCTTCTCTTTGATCCTTATTTGAATGTTGCTTTGATCAAAAGCGTCAGCTAAATAAAGGTAATTATATAAGTGTATTGAAATGATATTCATAGTACAGAAACTTGCTGGCTTATGTGGGTCTGTCATTTACGGCGTGAGCAGTTAATGGGGTGTTTAGCCTCCTGAGCCCTGGCATCGATTGGCAGCTTCTGGCTGTGCTGGTGCCCGGCCAGGTGCCCCGGCTGATGCCCGGCCAGGTGCCCGGGCTGACATGGGGCCAGTGGTGGCTGGCTTTCATTCAGCAGGGGGGTGCTGCCCCATCTCGCTGCAGAGCAGGAATGGCCCCAGCTGCACAGCCATTCAATCAGGGACCTGCTTCTTCCCCTCGGGCTAGATCTCGATACTCAGCTTTGAGTTTCAGTGTGCTGGGCTTTTGTTTGTCTGTCGACCTGTTGCGAAATTTAGTTCAAAAGTTAAATGTGCTATAATATTAAAGTAACAGCTGCTGTTAAGGTAATTGGTTTGAATCAAAGTCAGAGGGAAAAAAGGAAGCCTGAGTCAATTTGTACAGAACATATTCACACTAAATAAAACTCCTAATTCTATCAGTCATTTTCTACAAATGGCTTTTATTGCTTTTGTATGCTTGTTCACATTAAATGTTTGTACTATCCTCTTTTTTTTTTACCTTTGTTATTGTGTATGCTCGTTTTGAGTGGTTATGAGTTATTTTAACATATTTTGTGCTTGAAAATGTAAAGTATTTACCTTGTGTTGATGTAAGGTGCTTTCCCTGGGTTTGTCAGCGCTTAGGTGACGTATGATCGCGTGGGTTGCCTTTTGTTTTCATTTAAAGCCCAAAATAAGGTGACAAACAATGACCTCAGTAATGCTATTGAGGAGCTCTTGAACTGGGCTACCCCGTTCCAGGAATAGGCCACTGTTTCTGTACTGAGAGGGGTCACTTAATAGCCAGTGCAGGGTGAGAGGCTCCCTGGGCCGATTCCTCGGTGTCTGGAGCTGTCCAGCACCGGAGCTTCACATGTGGCCTTCAAAGCCGGCCTCTTTGTCTGTGACAGGACAATGGCCTCTTCACACAGCTGTGTACAAACAAACCACCCACGGTCTACAAAACATGACCTCACAAGTTATTTTCCCCCTTGGCGGTGCTGCTGTTTTTCCTCTGATTATTGCTTTGGAGATGAATAATCAACATAATCTGCACAATCATGTTGCTGCCTTGGTTCCTCAAGGGAAATGCGTCCTGTTTTTTATTTTGTCAATATTACTTGATTTTTGACAAGGAGATATTTAGTGGGGGGATTTAACTGAGCGTGATTATTTCCTTCAGACTGCATGGATAAATATGTTCTATTCTCCTCGCTGTACAGCTTTTAGGATTATCTTTAATGAAAATGTGATTTTCCCCTGGAATAGCTCTGTGGGAAGTGATTTTTGTTTCTCTCCTTTTTTATATCAGACTTTGTTCTTTCTTCAATGCTCAGTTCAGAGTACCATAACATTGGATTAAACCTCTTAAACTTGGTTTGCTTTTTTGTGTTTTTGTGTGTCTTGCTTATGTTGACCCCATTCCATGGTCTAAGGTATAACTGGCACTGCTCGTTGGTGCTGTTTTTAGTCCGGTGGAGCTATCCAACCCTAAAATGGATGCACCTGGTCGGCTGCCGAGGAAAGGGTGATGCACTGCTGTGTTCAAATACTATGGCTTTCTTTAAAAATATTGTTCATCCTATCTGTCAAACCCAGCAAAGTGCAATTAGCTTGCCAAGCAGGTTTTTGATATTAACGATTTTGAGTAAAAGGTAGAATCTCCTATAAAGCTTATGATTGTTATAAAGGTGGATGTGGACTCCAGGTCAGTAGGGGATGGAAAAAATATTGCATTTTGATATATGAAATTTTTGTGAAATACTGTAATATTCCATCACTTATCTGGGTCTGGGTTGTGTGGGCAGCAGTCATGCAGAAATGGCCAGATTTCCCTCTCCCCAGCCAACTCCTCCAGCTCCTCCGGAGGGTACCCAGGAGCTCCCAGGCCAGCTGAGAGATATAATCTCTGCTGCATGTCTTGGGTCTGCTCCAGGGTCTTCTCTTGGTTGGACATGCCTGAGACACCTCCCCATGGAGGCGTCCAGGAGGCATCCCATTGAGATGCCCGAACCACGTCAACTGGCTCCTTTCAGTGCAGAGAAGCAGTAGCTCTATTGTGAGCCTCTCCTGAATGTCCGAATTCTTCACACTATCTCTAAGGCTGAGGTCAGACACACTACGAAGGAAGCTAATTTCCGCCACTTCGATCTGTGATCCCATTCTTTTGGTCACTACCCAGAACTTGTGACCACAGATGAAGTTTGGAGCCTAGATTGACCGCTACATGACTGCTGATGCTGCATCATGTCCTGTCAGTCTCATGCTTCATTCGTCCCTCACTTGTGCACCAAACCCCAAGAATTCCTCCACTTGTGGCACTAAGTCATGCTCAACGTTGAGAAGGCAATCCACTGTTTTCTGGTTGAGAACCACGGACTCATGCTTGGCGGCGCTGATCCTCATCTGGACTGCTTCACACTCCACTGCAAACCGCCCCATTGGTTGCTGAAGGTCACAGTCTGATTAAGCTGACAGGACCACATCATTTGCAAAAAGCAAAGATTCGATCCTGAAATTTTCAAACTGAACTCTCTCCACCCATTGGCTGCACCTAGAAATTCTGTCCATAAAAATTATGAACTGAATATGACAAAGAGCAGCCCTGGTGGAGTCCAAGGCTCACAGGGAATAAGTCTGACTTGCAATGCGAACCAAACTCGTATACATCGATCGTATGTCTTTTCCAAGTCCACAAAACGCATGTAGGCTGGTTGGGCAAACTCCCATGAACCCTTCGGTACCCTTGTGAGGGTAAAGAGCTGGTCCAGTGTTCCACAATCAGGATGGAATTGCTCCTCTTGCATCTGAGGTTTGACCAACAAACGGACCCTCTTCTCCAGAACCCTGGCATAGGTTGAGGAGCGTGATCCCCCCCTGAATTCGGAACGCATCCTCTGATCTTTCTTAAAAATTGGGCCCACCACCCGAGTTATCCAATCCAGAGACACTGTCCCCAACTTCCATGCAAAGTTCTTCTAAGGATAGGCTTGTCAGTGTGATTCGGGAGGTTCTCCCTAGTACTCCCACCACCTGTCTGTATCCCCAATTGAGGTCAACTGCAGTCCATTCCTGCAGTAAACGGCATGGGTGAAGGCCCGGGCATCAGACACTCACTGACAAGCTCCCCCCAGTTCTCTCCTCAGTATCTCTTTTTTTGGACGAGGTTTCTGGTTCCTTGTTGTGCTCCACAAGAGGCATTTGAATCATCCTTTGTTTGGTCCCTCACCTGTGACCTATTTGCCATGGCAGACCCTACCACGGGCGATTACCCCAACAGCATAGCTCCTAGGATCATTGGGACACAAAAACCCCTCCACCCTATTAAAGTGGTGATTTATGGAGGGGTGCGATATTTATAAAACCAGAAAAGGAGCCATACAGAGTTATAGCCTCGGGATGTTGCGATAACTGCAATATCGCGATATTGACAAGACGGCCACCTCACCTGCAATGTTCATGATTTTTTTCTTTTTTTTTCGTGAAGCTACACCCTTCTTGTTTTACACTTCAGGACATGTGTATTGAATGCCAAATAAATTCATAATGAAAACGAGTTAAGTATGTAATTTTCCCCGCCAACAGGAGGCCCACATCTCCACATAATTTGTACGTAATGCCCAGGGACTGCCTGCAGTCCCCAAAGTTGGTTAAAAACATAAAAAAATCACTTGTGAGGTCATGTGCATAACGTGATGTTGATATGAACATAGCATATCATGCAAGCATTCTGGTGACCATCTAGATCAGGGGTATCAAACTGCAGTCCTGGAGGGCCGCAGCCCTGTGTAGCTTAGTTCTTTCCCTGTTCCACCACAAATGATTCAGCTCAACAGCTATGTGGTAATTGGCACAAGAAGTTGAATCAGGTGTGTTAAACGAGGGGAAACCCAAAAATGTGCAGGACTCCGGCCCTCCAGTACTGGAGTCTGACACCTGTGATCTAGATGCTATGTTCCCAAACCAGCAGAATGACATCCTATTAGATGGCTGTGCTGATTGGCCAAGTTATGTCACATGTCTCTATGACAGTCTCCTTCATGCGTGATGTATTTGAAAAACAAGCCATCATGAGCTCTCAGCATGGCGGACGAGGAGCTGGTGCCAAAAAAGGTCTCGACTTAACAGCTTTTTCAAGCACTCAGCACTTATTTGGTTGTTATCCACTGATTGCTTATTACAACTTTAATAGTTAAAATAAAGTTTAACTCAGGTTTACTGACCATTTTGAAAACAGTCTTTAATGCAATATTATGTTTTAAATGGTGCTAATAGATAAGTCCTTAGGCCTGTTTGAGTCTGGATAGTCCATTTTAAAATTGGGAAGCAGGATCGCAGTACAGATCGTGGCTCATGATTGAGTATTCAAAAGATTGTGATATGACTTTTTGGGAAGATCGCCAGCCCCTACTTGTAATATTTCTGTTGATGCCATCGATCCCGATGGCCGTCTGCCTCTGGCGGTGATTTCACGGATAACCTGACCTCCTTTTACATAACTGAAGGTTCTCCTGACTACCTGACTCTAGTTAAATATAGCTGGTTTGTTGATGCCCATTGTGTTTATTCTACTTTGTTCCTTCAGTTATTGTATTCCTGATGGTGGGTTCCAGCATAGGAGATCCCAGCCTTGTGATGACCCTCATCACTTTACGTCATACAAAAATTTCATGGACCAGTAAAATGGCTGGGGGGGTTGGGGGCAGTACCGTTACAGCTACAGGTTTAACAGTTTCCATTTTTTTCAGATGTGAACAGGAAAATATGTACTTTATTTTTGGAAATTGACCAAACTCAGCATTCCATGACCCAGTAGGATACTGGCTGCGGATTGGGGGTTGGGAATCCTACTCTGCCATATCCTCTGGGACTTGGATCATTTAATCTTGCGCATCTTGTCATGTTATATTGAAGTGGTGTCCATTACACCAAATTGATGTTTGCCATAGGCAGCATTGCATCCATTTGGTCTATCTCTCATCCTACCTCACTAAAGACCCAACCATTTTTCTGCTGGGCCCATTTCAGTATAAGAATCATTTATTGTCATTCAAACCATTTAAATTGATAGGAACGAAACACAGTTTCTCGGGTCCCTGTTCGTGCAGTGTGGCTACTAAACAATAAATAGATAAAATAATAATAAAATACTAGAATAAAATATCTAAACTAGGTATAAAATAGAATATACTAAGATAAAACCTCTGAAATAAAAAGTAATGTACAATGTTGCACAATTGCATGGCAGAACAGCAGCGACTTAGTGATCAGTGCAAGAGTAAGTAACAGCAGCGAAGAAACAGCAGTAACATTTCACAGATGGATTAAAAGTAGCCAGTGACGTTGCAGCATCAAGGCATATTACTACAGTGCAAAATGTTTAGTATTTGGGTGGTGGAGCAGTTTAACAGTCTGACTGCAGTTTAATGCCGTTTAAATGCCAGGGGCATTCAAGTCTGTTAATGCCAATGATATCAATACGTAAGCGATCCGAATGCATCTATACCACATCTAGCGTCGGCCCAAATGTTGCGTGTTGGATTTGCCCTTCTGGCATGAGATCTGTAGCCTTTTCCCTGGTGCCGTATCAGGTGCCTCTTGACCTGACGGGGCCCGTCTCCTAGCGCATTGATCGTTCCTGTGTGAAGTCTAACTTTGTTTGGAATGGGGTCATTGTCATTGTCAGCCGAGTAGCACATGCATTCTCCAGGGTGTGAGTTTCCTGGGTGGGGTGAAGTCTGCTTAGGGCTGCACTCCTCACTTCCTGTGCACCTCCCTCTCTCTCATATAACACTGTGTTGTTTTCTCTGCTGACATCTTGGTGTTTTTCTTCCACCCTGTCTCCAGTCCCAGTTCCTTCATCCCTGTTCCTTCATCCCTGTATCTTATGGTTCTCTTCCCAGCTGGAGCTGGTCCTGCGGTTATACTTCGGATATGTCTCTGCTGTTTAAAAAGAAAAAAAAAAAATACCACAACTTACAAGAGGCGATTTAAAAACCATCACAAGCAGCAAAACCTAACGTCCTCTGTTTTGTTGCATTTCATTTGTTTCATTTGCTTTTTTGCATTTCCATTCAGCTGCATAGGCTTGTTAATCCATAAATTTACGTTGGGTCTTAAGTCAGGTCTTAGATGAGGAGAGATACAAACATGCATTTAAGGTTCCTGTTTTGTAGGGGCAACTTCATTGCTGTTTTATTATAAGTGGTATGGATGTAAGTGTTTTCTTGGCAAAACAAACAGCATTTTCCCATTAAAACATACTGCAAATCTGTGGGGGAAAAGGGTAATTATTACTAAATGAGCCTCTGAATATCTGCCATCCTCTAAAGCTTCAGCTGGCTGTGAGATTTCCAAATGGCTGCTGAGTATATTGTGCATTGTTACTTGGTTTATTGCCGTATACTGGCAGAGGTTAATTGCCCAGCTTCTGAGTGCGCATGGCCTTTGTATGCTTTGCAGACCTGATCCACTGCACCAATGAGATGAACGTGAACATTCCCCAGCTGGCCGACACGCTGTTCGAGAGGACGGCCAACAACAGCTGGGTGGTGGTCTTCAAGTCTCTCATTACCACGCACCACCTCATGATGTACGGCAACGAGGTGAGCTTGCGCCTTCATTCTCCGAGTGGGGCTTCGTGTGTTCAGATAATTCTTACAGATTTACTGAAATGTACCAAACATCCGCATAACTCTGGCACTGATCACTCCAGTTTGGGATATTTTCGCATCGGGAACACCCTTATCACGAGGCTGGCTGTTTTCATGCTATCTTGCTGCAGTCCTGGTAATGTTGGGCAGAGCTGGCACTTTGCACTGTGTACCAGACCTACCGCTGCAGCTGCCCCCTCCTTCCCTGCGGTGTCCCCTCCCTTCTCCCTCATATCGCAGACATTGAAATGTTAGTTGGTTTGAGCAGATTCCTTCAGAGCATCAGTCCTTAATGCCTGTCAATTACTGCTTTGCACTGCTGCTGTGGATTAGGTTACTTCATTCTCTCTCTGCTGTTGTAATTTTGAGGTTAAAAGCCATTGTTTTTGCCTGATTTCCGTAGGTGGTCTCTTGGTGTGGTGTCAGTGGTGGCAGAGCCTCTGAAATAGTGCTGAGAACCTGTTCTGCATTTGTTCCCCACTCAGATCACTTACTGAAACCGTGACTTGTGGGCATTTCCTAGGAAACAAAGGGGAACCTCATCATTTCATTCTCACTTGTTATTATTTAGCATTTTTATGATAGCCAGTGAGAACGTTCATCACCTGTTGCCTAGAAGAACTATGTAAGCCTAGCAAGGAGCACAAAGCCGCCCCCTCTGCATTGATTGAGTAGTGTTTCACTGTTAGGGACTTAGATGCAGTAGCTCTGCTTTTATTGGGACACGTTCCCACAGAGGAGGACGTGTGTTTGCTCCTGTGAGCCCCACTGGCTACACGTTCAGGACGCTAAGGAGATGTTGTGCAGGAGCTCCCCTGGGTGCATCAGGCACAGAGGCGAGCACACATGCGAACTGTGAATCACTCTGCTGATGTCCTACATACGGAATGCAGAGCTTTCGGGGGTGACGCGGCACCGGAGTCATTGCGTCAAGCCTTTCCCAAAAAGGAAGTGAAAATCAAGGAGAATGACAGAGGGTATTTTAAGCACTGCGCACGCTGGGGGGAGCTGCAGCCTGGTTGCCTTATAGCCGCCTCGCTGAAGTACCGCCGTTCAGCTCGGTAACCTAAATCAGGTGCAGGTGTGCGCTGACCTCCGAAAGGCTTTCTGGCAGGCAGGCAGGTTTCTGGGGAGGAGTAGATGAGCTGTTTCTCGGGAAGTCCGGGCAGTGTGAGATCTGGCCAATGTGCAGGATGCCTGTCCCTTCACACGGTAATGTCACGGTGCTCTGATGCCATCCAGACAGCTGGAGATCTGCTGTCCATCAGTCCCACGACTGCCTGTGCCGTAGATGTTGGATTAGTGCCACACATCATGAGGCTGCATTAAAGTAAACATGATTTCTACATTTCTCATGATACCGAACGGAAATGCTGTATCACTGTTGTCCAAGGCTTGTCTGGCTCTCGTAGAGATCCTGCTGTTATCCTGTAATTCTTCTGAGAAACTATTCCAGACATCCTCCCATGTCTGCAAAGCACACGGTCATCTAGTACACTCCCTGGCAGATGCCACTGATCACACGTTTCCATACTGGGAAGCCCCCTCCCCCCGCTCAGGCAGCGGGGACGGGTGGGTTTCAGAGGTCAGCTAGTGTCAATTGGGTCCTCAAGCAAAAGGTGCCCATTATGTCACCTCGCTGCATGACTTCTGGTCAGCAGGTGACACAGCTTGAGCGATTCTGTCCTGTCAGCAGCTAATTTTATCTGTAAAAGACAGATGTTATTTTACTACCTGACGATGACTGTAAAGAATTTGGTGCTGGTGGTCATCAAAAGGCCACGCTGCGCTGAGGAATTCCTGTTTGGAGCGGGGTGGATGGCCATAGTCTTCCGGCCGAACAATGGCTTTGGAATGCTTCCTGTTTGGTCGGAAGCTCTCGTTTGACCTGGCCTGCCCTGGTAAATGTCGCTATTTATAAGCATAAATTATAAAAATATAACTGCATTGTGTGCTTGCCTGTGTATAGGCAATTCTGTATAGTCGGGACAACCTGCAGAATCTCACTAAAAAATCTCTGGACCTGATTGTTTTCCTGTGATAGTTGAAAGTTTTGGTCTCCCGGAGAGTTGCTGGGTGGTGATAAATGGGTAGTTCTGAACAATGGGTTTCTCTCCCCATGGGGAAGCTGGAAATGGGCTGAAAGTGAAGTGGTACCATTGACTTGCGTGAGCTTGTGAGGGTGCCTGATAGGGAGTGCTGTATGTCAGCCGTCTGCTCTGTAAATACCCGGCCTTCCTCTGCAGTGCATTGTGGGAAGTGGGTGGGACACTATGGCTTTTTTCTATAGGGAAGGAAATGCTGCACTTATTGCAACCGTATCTCACTCAGTCGCAACTGTTTTCAACTGTTTCATTTTTGTCAACTTCCCCCTCCCCCCCCCCCACCAGCGGTTCATCCAGTACTTGGCGTCGAGGAACACCCTGTTTAACCTGAACAACTTCCTGGATAAAGGAGCATTACAAGGTGGGCAAATTGAAATTTGAGCAAGAAAATGAGATGGCGTCACCCACAGGCATGGCATAGCGCACGTTTAGGTTGGCCCTCTGCTAAGGGCGAGAGTTTGTGTTCTCCAGGCTACGACATGTCGACGTTCATCAGACGCTACAGCAGATACCTGAATGAGAAGGCCCTGTCCTACCGACTGGTCGCGGTGGACTTCACCAAGATGAAGAGGGGGTGAGAGAACTCTGTGCGAGGTCGTTTTACAGCCGCTGTGTTGAATGTGTTTACTGTGGTAACTGAATTTGGCCATTTAGCTCATAATTACAGCAGTTAAGCCCAGGCTGTCCCCTTCATAAGCCAGCTGGAAGGTGCTGGAATCTCCTTTCCTCTATCCGCCCTTTCCAACAGTACCGATGGGGTGATGCGAACCATGAACACCGAGAAGCTCATCAAGACCCTTCCGATCATTCAGAACCAGCTAGACGCACTGCTGGACTTCGAGGTACGTCCCGGGTGTCCTTAGCACGCAGGAGGTTGCCCGTCTGGGCCGGTATACTCACGGCTGCTGCTCTAAACCCCTTGCCAGGCCAACCCCAACGAGCTGACCAATGGCGTCATCAACGCTGCCTTCATGCTGCTCTTCAAGGATTCCATCCGTCTGTTTGCTGCCTACAACGAGGGTGTCATTAACTTACTGGGTAAGTGAGCGGAAGGTTGGGCCGGCGCTCTGCTCGATCTTCACAGGGAAATTCCCCGGCCCAGCCGGCGCTGGCAAGTTCAACGGTGCCCCATTCCCAAGGTGTCATCGTTGTGTGCGTCTTTCAGAGCCGGCCCCTTTCCATAGAGCGTGCGACTGGAAATCGGCCCTTTGTCTTCTCTAGAGTTCCTTTGCGGATCTCTTTCTCAACATAATGGGCCCCGTTTCTGCTGTAATTATTATGGCTGGGGGAATTTACTGAGCTCTGCTATTATCCTGCTTTCCGTCGTTGGCCGATGATGACTTGGCAGGACCATACAAGTAAATTACGGTGCTCCTGTCCGTAAACAAGCTCCTTGCTAATTACTTTAATATTATAAATAATAGTCTTTGGTCACTGTCTGTAGCGAAATCTGCAGTGAGATCTTCTTCCCATTTTTGTCCTTTCAGAGAAGTACTTTGACATGAAGAAGAACCAGTGCAAAGAAGCCCTGGATATTTATAAGAAATTCCTCTATAGGATGACCAAGCTGTCAGAGTTTCTCAAAGTGGCCGAGGTACAGTCTCGCTTCCTTTCTCCTGGGGGCGCGGTGGGCAGGCCTGTAGTCATGCGTCAAGTGCTTGACTGTTATTTGTCTGGTTCTGCTACCCCTTAAGCAGTCCTCCGTATTAAAGGTTGCCATTAGGGGAGCGCTGCGTAAGCTGGGCCTGATGTGTCATTTGAAGATGAGTAGGGGTGGGTCGAGCTAAGCCCGCTCTCAGGGCTCTCGGGGTCCTTAACACAGTGCTTAGTGCTGCCGGTCTGGAGGTGTCACCTAACTGCAGTGTCACTGCTGTGTGACGTATCCTCAGTAACAGCAGGGTGCTGCAGTACAGTACAGTACAGTAACAGCTTCTCCCATGATTGCCATGCTGTCTGTCTGTCTCTAAATCTTTGCCGGGCGCCACAATGATTGATCGGCTGTTACTACAGACGACCGCATTGCCCTTCCCAGGGGGGTGCAGTTAATCCCCTCTGGGTTCACAGAGACTCAAAAGCCACAAATTTCTGTGAAGACGTAACTGTGAGAAGATGCACCCTTTCTGCCGAGTCCTCCTCCCAGTGCTGCTACACTGTGTCGCTGTGGGGGATGCAGCCCTGCGCACCCCCTGCCACCCCACCCCCGACCCCTGCAGCCTGTTTAATGCCTGACGCCCTGCATTGCATGGACTAGTGAGAGACGTGTCCCTCTTTCTCACACAGCTACCCACCGACTGCCTGGACCCAAGGGCAGTAGGGTGCTGTGGCCTTTTTTTCTACCTGCATGTTCAGCCACATGGCTATTCCCCAACCCCCCCCCAATCCGCTTTAGGCTTCGCAGATGGGGTTAGTGGTGCACCTGTGATGACCTTCAAAACCCTTCTTTCCTTTTTTTTTTGTTTTTTTTTTATGCCTGCACAGTAGCCTAATGGGTGTCAAACCGCCCCCCCTCCCGCTTGCATTTTACAGATTGAGAGTATAAGGCGTCAAAGGGCACCCACCAATCCTCCAGTCCAGTAGGGGGCATACTTATATAATACCCCAAGGCCATTATCGACCTCCCTTTGCTTATCCCTGCTTGATAGCAAGAATTTCTGAATGGTACTCCCTCCTGTAACAGCCCAGTATTTATGGATTAAGTATGATGGGGTTTCTGTAGTGCAGACTTGACTTCCATTGATTATTATAAAGGTGCATTTGTTACTTGTAGAGGTATAAAATGTCTTTTGCCATCTGTCTGTGTAGTTTTTCCAAAGTCAGCATCTGCTCACTGTTCTCTTTGGATGTTGCCCACCTTCCGGTTACATGAGTACATGAATACCACATCCCACTACACCAGCCCCAAGTTGAGCACCGTCCGAGGCATTTCCGTGTGCAAACCCATTCCAGTGCAGTCCTCTGTGCGTGATGCATGCCAAGTCCCTTTTTCTGTTGTTTACCAGTCACTGCATGGAGTAATGGCTCCTTTTGTTATATATTTTTCTTTTCTTATCCCCCTCTTCTTTTACTGTTGTTGTTGTTTTTTCTTTTCGGTTTTGGTTCTGTTCGCCCTTTTTGTGACACAGCAAGTTGGAATTGATCAGGGTGACATCCCAGATCTAACACAGGTCAGTGTACATTTCATCTCGATATCTACTCGTGGCTCCATTCAAAACGCTGTCATTCCCTACTCACCCTACAGGCCACCTCTCTCTCCTGCTCTCGCTCTGTGATTAACCCCCCCCCCCCCCCCCCCCCCCCCCCCCCCCCCCCTTGTTTCACCCCCCCCCCCCCCTGCCCCCCCCTTGCGGGTCAGGGCCCAAGCCTCTATCACTGGCTCTCTGTGTCTCCTTGGGTGCAGTCAGTCTGATCTGCATTTAACTTGAGAGCTTTTGGGCAGGCAGACTTCAAATTAATCTACGCTTTGCAGTTTTAGAAGGTTTTGTATCAAAGTTATATAAGTTGTATTACTGTTTGATTTTTGTTTGATATGAAATGGCTGGATCTTTTTATGCTGTTATGCAGTTTTGTTGTGGATTAATGGATCGTATTTGTCTGATAGAAAAATTCTCGCATGTTGAGGCCGTTTCCTTGAATAAAAACCTTATTTTAAAGAGTGCAAAAAACAGGTCACAGTAAGAGGTAAACCTCTCTTAAGCATTAGTAGAATTCCATATGGTAGACGGTGGTGTTGCATGACCTTTGTACTGGAAAGTATAAATTTGGTCACTACTCTCTTAATTTGCATCTTCCCAGTGAAACTTTGGTGCATTTAGGGGATTCGGGTGCAGTCGTACATTTGAAGATCTGCAGCTTCTAAAACGTTTTACTCTTTATTTCCTCTCTCCTCCTGACTGCCCCCCGCCTATTTTGCATTGTTGGTTTTTAACCCCATGCATGCTAGCTGTAGCGGGCAGACATAGCACCATAGCTCCAGTTGAACGCGATCCTCCGAGGAGCCTTTTTCAAAAAGCTGTGGGGAGAGCAGCGAATGCTTAATGCCCTTAATCTTCCCCGCCCCCCCCCCTGTTTTGTTCACCTGTTTCTCCCTTCGAGAAGTTCTGGCTTTTCTTTACACTGTCTAGAATCCTCAGTACTCCTGTTCTTTTTTTCCCTCCCCCTTTTCACCATGAGCGTGTGAGGAGTCTGTTCTTTCCTCCGTCGACGGCTTTGGCTTCCAAACCCTCTGAAGTCCTGGTGGCCGTATCTGGTGATATATATCTACTAGATAGAGAGAGAGTGAAACAGATAGAACCCTTTCTGAACTTAAGACCTTTTTAATTTCAGACCCAGCATGTTAACATGACATCAGCGTGGGAGAGGATGGAAGCCAAAGTGTGTGTGGGTGCGTGCGTGTGTATGTGTGTGCCCTTGGTGTGGACGTGTCTGTGTCTAAGCATATATGCAGTCCTGTGTGATCCAGCAGGGGGCAGCGTGGTGCCCAGCACAGGCCTGTGTATATGCTCGCATGGGCCACTGCGCTGTGCATGTCAGCCTGAATGCTGTCCCGTCCCCCTTCTTTTTCTGAATCCCTTGCGTTTTGTCCCTGAAGCTTGTTAAGCTAATAGCTGAGGCATGTAACCATGTTTTGGGATGGTAGTGCATCGTGTGAGACCTGCGAGGAGCAGGTAGGGGCGGGGGGGTGGTTGTGACTGCGTGCCTATACCTTGCTCCCTTCTCAGCCGCGTCCCCCCTCCCCGACTCCCTCCCCGACAGGCCCCCAGCAGCCTCCTGGAAGCCTTGGAGCAGCACCTGGCTTCTTTGGAGGGCAGGAAAACCAAGGAGCTGTCGGCAGCTAGCAAGTAAGCGAGAGAGATCGCGCACATCCATCAGGTCATTACCCTCCTCAGTCCATAACATTCCTTTCTGCCCACAGAGCCAGCACCCTGTCCAGCGCTGTGTCCTCGCTGTCCAACACGGGCATGTCCTTCAGCCGCATGGATGAGAAGGAGAAGCAGCAGGCCCTGGAGGAGGAGCAGACCAGGATGCAGTCCCTCAAGGTGAGGATGGGTTAGGGTTACCCAGGAGGAGTTACGGGCCAGGATTGGTTAGGGTTTCCCGGGAGGATTGAAGGGCCAGGATTGGTTTGGGTTACCCGGGAGGATTGAAGGGCCAGGATTGGTTTGGGTTACCCGGGAGAATTGAAGGGCCAGGATGGGTTAGGGCTACCCGAGAGGAGTGACGGGCCAGGATTGGTTAGGGTTAACCGGGAGGAATGACGGGTCAGGATGGGTTAGGGTTAGCCGGGAAGATTGACGGGTCAGGGTGGGTTGGGGTTAGCTGGGAAGATTGACGGGTCAGG